GGATTTATCAAACAATGGCTTAATCAGAGAAGTGCAAAACTTCTGTCTCAGCTAGTCTTATTGAAGAAAATGTAAGTGCCAAGTGTATTTTGAAGGGTTCATTTCTTCTTTCCCCAATTTCTTTTATTTGGTTATACTTATACATATAATGGACTTTCCCAATTTCTTTTATTTGGTTATACTTATACATATAATCGACTCTTAGTGAAAGAAGGGATTATGATGACAGACACTGAAGGCACAAATTGGATAAAATGAGCTCTCTTTTGTTCTTATTCACTTGTGCTTTGTCCTCTTACTTTTTAATACATGTGTTCTTAATAGATTACTTATGAATTGATAACTTGGGGTTTGCAGTCAAAGTTTAGCTTGTTAGTAGTTCTATTTTAGTGGGAGCTTCTGATGTACTCCTTGTCTTCTTACTCTGCTAATATCTAGGAGGTGATGGGGAATGCAACGAAAACAGAATGATTGGAGCTGGAATTCGGTATATTTCAGTGTTCATCAAAGCTGGTAAGTCCTTGTCCTCCAAATTCTCTCTTTTCTTTACACTAATTACATTTTCTTCAGGTTGCTTTGTTTTAACTTATTTTGTTTCATTCTTGTTCCTGACATATTTCATCATACTTCTTGTACCACTACCAGGAAAACATTTACAAGAATCCATGTAGCAGTTCATTTGTTTCATTTTGATTCATGTCTTGAAGCAGATGCGAACAAGATTATAAGCTTTACTTTCTAAAATGCAAGGAGCAGTTAGAGATGGAGAATGTGAACGGGCAAAAAAGACGTACATCAAAAGAAAAGGTAGTGATTATGAAGCACAAATTAAACTGTGTTGATTTGCATTTCATTTGTTTTGATTTGATTCATTTCTAAAGAATAAGACGAACCTTTGTTTCTTCAGTGCCTTGGAAAGCTATGGCAGAAATCCCCTAAGGCTCATAAGGTGTCTTCAAGTGGACGCTGTAATATGTTTCAGTGTCTGAACCTGTAGCTGTTTCATTCTCATTTGTTCTCCATTTTCTTGTTGTATTACTTGTTTTCTCTTTCCTCTCGCTGTTATTGTGATTGTTTGAAGATGATTTTGTAACACTCTCTTGATATATAGTAGAGCTATTTTTCATGGACTAGAAGTCCCGTAGTTTTTACTCTTCTATTTGAAGTCTCTTATGTATGGTTTTTTGCTTTAGCCATTCTTATTTGTTTACGTATTTAGTTGTTGTCATATTTGTTAACCTGAAAGAGGAACTGATTTCATAAACTTTTCAAGTTTCAAGTGTCGCCTGCCATCTTGAATCACATTTCCAAATATGGGCCTAATAACAACATTCATCGGTAAATATTTCCGAAACAAAGCCTAGAGGGAGCTTTGTTGAGTATTACCTTATTAGTCTAAGATTCTGTCTATCACAAGCAAAATAGAAAATATCCTGGAAGAAAATATTTTTATATAAAATGATTTATATATAAGGTGAATTCAGGTGGTAAACTCTTAGAGATAGAGTTAGATCAAGTTATCTGTACTAAGTTAATAATTCTTAAAGTCTATTAACTAAATAAATTAATAATAATATCTTTTTAATATAAGTAAGATTTTAAATTTAAATTATATGATATGTGGATAAGATAAATTGATAATGGAAGAGGGTTGCTTATCATCAAAAGCAAAAAAGAAAAAAAAAGTTGATAATTTTTAAAAATAAGTTTTGTGTGAAGAAGATAAACATAAATATTTCTTCTCTCATTGGCAATAACAATATGAAACAAATTTGCAATATGTAACTGTACTAAAACTAGTTCGTTTAAATAAACATTTTTAACTCCTACAAAATAAATATTTTTAATTTTATTTGAAAATTTCATAATTTTAATAAACATTATTCTATCCTGTCCAAAAATTAAAAGAT